ACACAAATTAAGCACAACTTTTCATTTCTGATTGTACACAATGTAGCGTCGCACTATATGTGCAGTCATACATGAACCTAGGGTAATAATGTTCCTCACTTCACCATCTTTCCTGCCCCCATACCTTCTCCCTTCCACTTCCTCCCCTTTGCGCAATCAAAGTTCTGCAGTGTTTTTGGTAAATATTAACAGCTAAGGCCTCCATTCTATAAATTTCTTCCGTTCAATGAATACTTTATCATTTACTATTTGGAAARCTTTCAATACAAAACTGTACTGAAAACTCAACAGATTGCCTTTTTCTGGTGTGTGTGGGTGTGTGTGTGTGTACCAGGGTTTGAACACAGGGGCATTTTTATTTAGACACAGGATCTGAGTTGCTTAGTGCATCGCTTTTGCTGAACTCGCCATCCTCCTGCCTCAGCCTCCCAGAGCTGCTGGGATTACAGGCATGCATTACCTTTTGATTTTGGACTAGAACTTAGATCTAGGTAAAACTATACGTGAAATAACTCCTGCCTTGCGCTACATTTTTAGTGATTAATGTAACTAAAGAAAGTTATCTACCTATGCAGGTTCATTTAGCAGAATGCTGTGCTCAATACACACACACACACACACACACACACACACACACACACACACACTCTCACTCACTCTCTCTATCTCTCTCTCGCTCCTCCCCCAATCTCCAAGTGCTAATTCTATGCCAGGATTTGCCTCAGTGAGGGTAGAGCAGGATGCAGAAGGCAGGTGGGGAAGGATGGTACAGTCCTGAAAGCCCAAGCAGCTAAAGTATGAGCACAAAAGCATCAAATTGAAACAAAACAAGACAAAATCCAATTTATAATTCTCTAAGAAATGAACTATTATTCCATGGTATTCAATAAGGTAGTTGAGTTATTTAAACCACAAACAAACTATCATCCTTTGGCACTCTACAGCAAGTCTTCCATCTAAATTTAATCACAATCTAATGCAGCAATTTAAGCAAATTGTCAGTTTAATTAAAAAAGGATTTAACCTGCAATAAACTTTACCAAGAGGTTATTAGTTTGTCCCTTCAGGACTGACACTTTACTTTCACTCTTTGCTATAGGAAGACTAAAAACCTTACAAGAAAAAAATATCAATTCCATCAAAAAGACAGAAAACATATCTTGGCATTAATAACCAAAATTTTATTTTGTATAAAATATCATAYTTTGTAAGAACCATGCTACAATACAATTGTGTTGTACTTATTTAAGAGATACAATTTTGTAATATGTTGCATAACGAAACTAATAACAACAGTAACAGAAATGAGTAAAGGCTATTCCATCCTGGGTTAGAATTTACCCTGACACACTTGAGTTGCAGGCTTCACATCCTGAAAATGTCCTAAGTAGATGGAGTCAGAATACAATGTCTTAACTGTTAAACAAAAGTGCAGGGTGTTTTCCAATTTTTCTGTCAGTTTTAAAGTGCTGAAGTATAATACATTAGGAGTTAAAGTGCTGAAGTACTAATACATTAGGAGTTTTGTTTTTTGACACTTTCAATCTGGATAGTGGAAATTTAAAAATCATGTATTCGTCTTTCTTATTCAAAACAAAACAAAAAAATCAGATGTTTTTCAAGAAACCCAGTTGGGAATCTCTACCTAGAAAGTACAGTGGTCCCTTGGCATCTGTGGGCTATTTATCCTAGGACCCCCATGCATACCAGTGCTCAAGTCACTTACATAAAATGGCACAGTATCTGCATATAACCTATGCACAACCTCCCATATACTTAAATTATTCCTAGATTACTTATAATACTTAATACAATGTAAATACTGTGTAAATAGTTGATATACTTTATTGTTAGAAAATGACAACATACAAGTCTGCACATGTTTGGTGTAAAGGCAACTCCCCTACCGCCCCCTAATTTTTTTGGTTGAATCCACAGATGAAGGATACAGAGGCCAACTATAACAGAAAATATAAAAGTGTTTTAAACCTAAAGATGTCCTTTGTAGCTTATAATTTCCAACAAGTTAATTTCAATATACAAGTTGGTATTTAAACAAATGTTTAGTTATCTGAATAAATGGAAACATCATTTTGATGTTTTAAAAAGAGGAACTGGGGCTGGGGTTGTGACTCAGTGGTAAAGCACTTGCCTGGTACCTGTGAGGCACTGGGTTCGATCTTTAGCACCATATAAAAAAATAAAAATAATAAATAAAACAAAAGTATTGTGTCCATCTACATCTAACAAAAAGTAACATGTTGCTTAAAAGAAAAAAAAAGAGGAATTATTTGTTTCTTTTCATTTGAAATTTTCATATTTTTACAACAAACATAATATTTAATTAGAATCAAAAGATATAAATACAATGTTAACAATTATGTTTAAAACGCAGAGTCAAGAAAATAAGCAAAATGTTAACAATTACATGGAATATGGTTGTGTTTCTCTTTTATTATTATTTACTTATTTTTGTGCTGCTGGGAATCAAACGTAGGCCTCACCTATGGTAAGGTAAGCAAATGCTCTTCCACTGACCTACATCCCCAGTTTTCCCTTTCTCCTTTAATACTTTTCTGTATTCCTCATTCCTTATAAGTATGTTATATCATTATAACTGAAAAAGAAAAACAACTTTCAAAGTAGTTAATATGGAAACTTACTTGGCAGCCTGGAGATCTGCATTGGAAAGGTTTCCTTGGGCAATTGTTTTTACTTGGTTATAGGCAGCCTTGATGACCTAAGACACATAAGTAAGAGTTGGACATCCCTGGCCAGTGCCAGAGTCTCCAGAGGCAAGCAAATGTTCCTCTACTGAGGCAAAAACACAAGATAGAGGGTTAGTTCTGATAAACAGTACAGGGTCCATTTGGAATTCTGTAGTTACTATATGTTCCTTAAAGCAACCATTTGTGCAAATGATAGTATCTAAGCATCCAAACTTCATACAAAATTTAAGTGACAGACAGCWGAAAATGAAGTAAGTATCTCTAATAAAATTTCTAAACTCTCATGACATCATGCTTTTAAAATTGCTATCTCTTAATATTAACTGAGCAGAAATTAGTAATCTAATTAAATAGTCAATCTATAAGGCTTATCCATACTCGGAATGTCAAAGTCAAGAAAGATTCAAGTTCTAGTGATGTGGGTGCTTGGTAAATACTTGATGAACAAATACATTTTAAAAATCTGGCCCATGATTTTCTTCATCCCAGCCCTGGTAGCATTCCAGGCCTGCTACTTATTGTTCCCAGCATCACCTAAATTCCAGGACTTTCATTTCCCTTTCACATTAATTACCCATTTTTATAGCCATGCCCACACATAACCTAGACCTGTCTTATCTCTGAAATCCCCAATTCCAAAGACTTCCAGCCTCAGTCTTTATTCTTCCACTTTCTCAAGATCACGTGCCTTATTTTTCTACTTTCAATCAGGCCCCTTTCTCTTCTTTATCTGGCCTAGATCTATGAATCCTCCCTTCACTCACTCTTGAATGTTCCCAACTCCTGTGCTATCTTCCTCCTACTTCTAAACTGTCTACCTTGCTGGATTCCAATCTGGGATTAATCCTACTACCTGCCTCCCCAATTTTTCCATTAGGATAAAAAATGCTAATGAAGAATAAAAGATAAAACAGACCTGGTTGATTGTACTATGAATTCATGGGCACTTCAGGATACCTACCTATACTACCCCTGCTGCCCATACTTTGTGCATCTTGCCATTCATTTGTCCCAAGCCTCATTACTTTCTTTGAAACTTTTTTTTCTCTCACTCTTAAAAGATGACTTAGCCTCTTGCCTTATGATGGAGGTTCTTCCTCATCTTCTGACAACATCTCCCAACATTAGTTTTGATTTCCTAGGCTCAATACATCCMTTGCATTCTGGATCCCACTTGTTCTTACTTTCTCAGACTTGAGCCAGTTGTCATTTTTTAACTCGTATTTGCTCCAATCTTTCTTTATCAATGTCCCATTTTTTTCAGTATAAACTCTCCCAAAATGGCCAGCTACAAGTCTTAAGAAGCTCCACCTACCTGCACCAATCTCTCACTTGTTACTTTTCAATCATTCCTTAATCACTGTAAATTTTGGTTCACTTTCACTCCTCTGGGGAAATTGATATAATCACCAATAACAATCTAGTTTGTTAAAACTATAAGACCTCTCTGTGGTAACAAAAGGGACRCTAACCTATCAGTGGATCAAAATGGTATCAACCATTCTCTTTTTCCTGGCCTCCAAATATAATGGTTTCTCTTCTTTTTCTTCCTGTTTTCCTGGCCTTTTTTCCTTAGTCATTTGCCCTATATAGATGGTGTTTCCCAGAATTTGAGTTTTGGCTTTCTTCTCCTACAAGTAAAAGCACCCATAACCCTGACTTTAGCACAATCTCTATCAGAAAATACACATCTTGGCTTGACTTTTCCAGGGTTCTCATATCCAGATATTTCAGAGTCAACTCAATGCCACTTGTCCAAATAGAACCAGAACATCAAGGAGGCATTTCCCCATTTTTCTGGAAGTATTAATACACATTTTAATGTTTTCATCATAGCAGAYACATTTCAATGGTTTCACACTGAGAAATGCTGACAGACCATTCAAACATTCCATATTTTAACTGAACACATGCTAATGACGGGAAAAAAAATTCTAAGAATTAATGAATTGGAAACTTACATCTCCAGCAGCTGCAGCCTGGGAGAYAGTGTAAATTCCAAAGAGACCAGAATCCAAGTAACTGGCATTGAATGCACAAACCTGAAATACAATGAAACTTTCAGAGGTCCCCCACCCCTCATTTAAATCTTTCTAAAATGACAGCTCACTTTCCTTTTTGCTGGGTATTTTATAAACTTCTTTTGATGAAAAAAGGATAATTCAAACATTTTATTATAACATAGATACAGTATAGTCAAATGGTATAGATCATTAGACCTGTTTTTTTTTTTTTTCTCTCTTGCTGTTGGTAGTGACTTTTTCATCAATTTGCTTTCACTTCTCCTACACACTAAGGTCAAAGAGTTACAGAAAAATTATATAGATTTCCAAGGTGGCAAAAAGTTCAGCCTCTGGATAATAGGGATATTGCTGACCAAAGTATGAGCGGAATTTAGAGCTCCTTAAGGGGATTTTGATTGACCAACACAGGGTTTCACAGTGTTCATCTGGACCATTTACATTAAAAAAAAAAAAAAAAAGTTGTTATTTAAAAATACAGACTTTCAGATTCCTATACAAGATTTACTGACTCACAGTCCTACGTAGGTAGCTTAGGAGGCAGATTTTTAACAAGTATGCCAGATGACTCTTAGGTACATTAAAGTTTGAAAACCACTGGCTCAGATCATGTAAAACATAAGAAGAAACTAATTTCAAATGGTTTGAAAAAAAAATTCTGGTCAAAATCTAAAGTAGGAATTTCTATTAAATTATGTAATTGAATTTGGAATAAATTCTAGCTACGCAAAGCCATCAGTAACATTCAATAGTGAAAAATAAAGCATTAAGAAAACGGTAGACAGGGCTGGGGATGTGGCTCAAGTGGTAGCGCGCTCGCCTGGCACTCGTGTGGCCCGGGTTTGATCATCAGCACCACATACAAAGATGTGTCCGCTGAAAACTAAAAAATAAATATTAAAAATTCTCTGTCTCTTTAAATAATAAAAAAAAGAAAACGGTAGACAGTGAATGATGAAATATAATCTAGAGAAAAWTTAAAAAGCAAAATTTAACTTAGGACTACTTTAAGATAATGGTTTTTAAACTGTGCTCCAGGGAACCCTGAGGCTCTGTACAGAAGATTCAAAAGATTTCAGCCAAGTAAGTCTTCAAAATTTCTTTAAAAGTTAAACCTTTTGTGCATTGCAGCTGGAAAATCATATAGGAAAAAAGGTCCCTCTGCTAAAACAATAACAACTAAAATCCAAACAAGTTTAAAAACTACCACTCAAATTAAAATAGACAAATAAAAACCAGAAAAATGCTAATTTAAATTTCCATCATTAAGTGTCAAATGGCCAAAGACTTTACTAAATAAAGCACAAGTCTTCATGTTCCATATACTATATTGGAAACTATGACCAATGTTCATTCCTATAATTTAGTTTGTTATCTTTTATATGTATACTACCAAAACTCATGAAGGATATTACACTGGGCAAACAATGCGCATTCATTAATTAATACTTTGTTGGTTGGTATTTTATATTCTCCTGATGTATCATTATTTTTAAAGCTTTAATACTTTCCTGTCATAAAAGAGTGTATTCTAAAATAACATGAACCTTTTGTTATGATTAAAGCTCTCATTTTTTTCTTTTAATTTAATTTTAAACTGGAGGGATGGGTCTGTAAACAATTTCTTGGTATACATCTTGCTCACTTGATTGGAAAACAAAAAGAGTAGTGAAATTCAGAGAGTAGCAACCGGAACAGAAGAGAAACAATAATATCTAGAAAGAAACATTAGTTAGAATCTAGGGATACATATACTATCTAAAACTTTATCATAAAGGGAACTTGTGTGACTTTCTAACTTCTAAGCATGCAATTCCTCTTTCTACATTAGGATTAAAAATAATAAGTTTTTGATAGACCCATTAATGTACCAAAAACAAGCCTAGTTGTCACTTCAATTGCACAAATATTTTATGTGTTCGTCTCAAATTTTAAGAGTAGATGATCAGGATTACATCATAAATACCGAGTCTCTGGGAACAAGAAAGATTATCAACTTTTCAGACTTACATCAAATGGCTGGTGATTTCCTTTGGCAACAGCCTGGTACAAGACGCTAGTGGCATTGCTGCCCCTCTTGACATGCGGTCCAGCACCAAGGACATGCTGAAGAACACTGAATGCACGTGCTTCTGCACTTCCTATAGCAGCACTTTCTGCTACAACAGCAGCATGGACAAGACTGTCTCCATTTTGTTCTCGAATTTCACCTTGGGCCAAGTAAGAAGAGGGTGAGAAGGAAAATGGCTTGGTCACCATTGGGGTTTTTTTTGGTGGTAGGGAGTACCAGGGACCAAACCTATAGGCGCTTTACCACTGAGCCACAACCCCAGCCCTTTTTATTTTTTGAGACAAGTTGCTCAAAAAGTTGCTGAGGCTGGCTTTGAACTTGTAATCCTCTTGCCTCATTCATTGAGTCACTGGTATTACAGGCATGTGCCACCATGCCCAGCACCATTGGTTTTATTCTTCAATATCTTCTATAACACAGTATTAACCCACTAAGATTATGCTTTTCCCGGGCCCTATTTTTTCTTTGGTCCTATATTTTCCCCATGACACCCTACTCCAACACACACACAAAACATGTTAAGGCTAAACACCTAAGTCATCTAATTATTTCCTTCTGTGTTGAAATGGTTTGGTAGTAAATAATCAAGTCTATTCCACCCCAACGTGCTGTTCTACCAGTGAAATGTCCTTCTGATAAACTAACCATAGTAGAAGAGAATGCTCACCTCCACGGTAAGTGGCCTTTGCACCAGGTGAACCAAGCCCAGCCCTTATGTTGAGAAACTGTTCAGCAACCTGCTTTAAAACAGGATGACTCACACCTGTTTGAACAAAAACAAAAACAAAGCTAGAACCAGAATTTCTAAAACATCTGTTTTTCTGTTTTAACATAAGTGATTATAAAATTTAAAAATACGCTTTCTTTCTACTGCAATGCCATTCTTCCATATATCCATTTACAGTTTAATATTAACTATTTACTATCATATTCATCTGAATTTTTTTCTGTGTGGTTATATTCATATACTTTGATTTTTATTTTTGGTGCTGGGGATCAAACCCAGGGCATCATGCATGCTAAGCACGTGCTCTACCACTGAACTATACCCCTGCCCCTCTTTTTTTCTAAGTGATTAGTCCATATTATTCATTTAAGGTCATACAAAGTGCCATTCTATGGGTATACCATCATTTCTTTAATCAATCCCGTTTCAGTAGACAATTAGCATGTTTCTAATAGTTGGATGCTTCAAAGGACGTTATTAAAAAGAGTGAAAAGAGGGGCTGGGGATGTGGCTCAAGTGGTAGCGCGCTTGCCTGGCGTACTGAAAAATAAATTTAAAAAAATTCTCTCTCTCTTTAAAAAAAAAGAGTGAAAAGATAACCCATGGTATAAAATAAAATATATGCAAAAAATTATTTGCATTCAAAATACATAAAGGATCTTTATAACTCATGAATAAAGAAAATAAACAATCTGATTAAAAAATGGGCAAACAACTTGAGCAGACATTTCTCCAAAGAAGTTATGCACATGGCCAAAAAGGGCATAGAAAGATGTCATCTGTCATTAGGGAAATGCAAATTTAAACCACAATTACCACTAAAATGGCCATAATCAAAAAGACAGTAGATGCTGGTGAGAATGTGGAGAAATCAGAACTCTGGAAAACTGYTGGTAGGAATGTAAAATCACACAACTAATTTGGACAATAACTCACACAGTTTCTCAAACTGTTAAATAGAGTTACCATATATGTCCTGAAAACTAGTACCCTAAGAAAAACTTAATATATCAATGTTAAGTTTTCACAATTGCTAAAAGGTGGAAATGTCCTAAATGTCAATGAATATATAAACAAAATGAAGTAATGGAATATTTGTCAGCCATAAAAAAGGAACACTGATACATGCTACAATATGGATGGACCTTGAAAAATTATGGTAATTGAAAGAAGCCTATTACACAAGGTTACCTACTATATAATTCCATTTATATGAAATGTCCAGAGGGCATTCTATGAAGACAGAAGGTAGATTAACAGATACCAGAAGCAGGATGGTGGGRATGGGAAGGACTGCTTATGGGCATGGGGTTTCTTTGGAGATGATGAAAATACTCTGAAATTAGACAGTGGTAACAGCTGCACAAAATTATCTGAATTTACTAAAMGCTACAGAACTGTACACTTTAAAATCCATATTTTAACAATATTCCCATGTAAACATTTTATAGTTGAACAAGTATTTCTGTAGGACAAATTATTTCTTTTTTTTTTGACACAGGGTCTTGCTATGTTGCCTAGTCTGTCCTTGAATTTGAGATCCTCATGCCTCAGCCTCCCAAGTAGCTGGAATTACATGTGTACACCTGGCTCTTAGGACAATTCTTATACTGCCACTAAAAATTTTGATACTGCTCTGATTACTACTGAGCAGTATCAACCTTTTAATTTTTGATGTTCTCACAGATTAAAATGTTTATTTAGTGAGGGTGACTATGTTTTAAAATAACTGGCTCTACCCTGGCCACTTTAAGCATGAACTGTCTGTTTACACCCTTTGCCTATTTTTCTATTAAGTTGTACTTCTTTTTAAAAGATAGTTTGTAAGTGCTCTTTGCTGTTACAGAAATGCATCCTTGTTACAGGTTTTACAAATACTGTAAAGAATATAAAGCAAATGGTTTACAAAGTTAAATAATGGATTGTGCTTTCACAAATAAATGACTAGCAATTAAAATTTGATTATATATACCTGTTTGACATATATAGAAGTTTTAAAATTTTGTTCTAGTTTCACATAATTACAGTTTAAAGGACTGTCCTTAGGGAAGCAAACTGACATACAGTAATTCCCAACTTACCAAGCCCAATCAAAGCCATTCTTGTGCTTGTAAAATGGTTCTGAACGAAGTGATGTAACTGAAAAAGTTAAAAACTCTTATTAGATTTTATTGGTATAAACAAAGAAAGTTGTAAAAACATACAAGTGCAGTTCAGCAGAAGATAAATACCCAGACATAAATGCTGCTGAAATGAACTACAAAGGACTTAGTTATAAAAACTATTGCTTAAAATAATGGAAATTGTGGTTAGGTTGCACAACTCTATAATCATAATAATGAAAACCACTGATATATATACTTTAAAWAGGTAGAATTACATACCTATCAATAAAGCCATTAATAAAAAGGAATGAAAAGAAATTAAGAGTATACATTGATCTGAAGTTGAAAAAAATGGAAGTAAATTTATGATTTTTTATTATCATGAGGTTTAAGTCATACATTAGATTACTGTGTGTTTCTACAGGTAGTAATAAAGCATTGTAAATATTTTATGGCTGATCTAATAGAGTTCTATCACTATACCCTTCTTGTCCACTTTGAAGCCAATCTCAGCAAACTTTTCTTGCTATGAGGTCACTGTTAACATGAAGGTTTCCAATCTGAACTATTATAGAATTACCTAGGAGAACTTAAAAGGTCCTCTCACTTCCACCAATTTCAGAGGCCCATATTACAGACTGATATGATAGATTTGATAAAGAATCTTAGAATCTTTATTAAAAGTAATCAACTATGGGTTGGGGTTATAGCTCAGTGGTAGAGTGCTTGCCTAGCAAGTGTGGAGCCCTGGGTTCGATCCTCAGCACAATATAAAGATAAATAAAATAAATAAAGGTATTGCATCCATCAAAAAAAAAAAAAAAAAAAAAAAGTAACCAATTAGCCATCCATCTAATCAACCACTCTGGTGATCCAATTAGCCATCCATCTAATCAACCACTCTGGTGATCTGAGGATCAATAAGATGTAGGAATCATAGTTTTTACTATTATTTTTGATTCAAAATGTGCAAAACTAGGGGTAAAACATGTATTCTTAATCCCTCCAGGAGTCTAAAAATTGGTTCTTGTGGGTTAGAAACAAACAAACTTACCCATTTTATATACAAAGTACAGGTATACATCCAAATGCATAAGCAGATATACAGTGTATGTGTGGTATTAAAAATTATAGGGGCTGGGGTTGTGGCTCAGTAGTAGAGCACTTGCCTAGCACATATGAGGCCCTGGGTTCAATTCTCAGTACCGTATATAAATAAATAAAATAAAGGTGACAACTAAAAAATATGAAAAAAAAAAAAAAAGAAAAGAAAAGAAAAAAGGTGAAAATGAGCACATTTTAAAATGCAGTATGTTTTACCAGTTACCTCTTCTGAGGTCACTTTTCCAATTCTATAGTCTGGGCAATACAATGAATTAGCCAAGGCATTCCGGTAAGCAGCAGCATGCAAATTTTCAATGAGACCTATAAGATAGTTAAGTAAAGAAGAAATTACTGAACTACCACTTAAGTAAAGACAACAATATTTTAAAAACCGAGTTTACAAAAAATCTATACAAATTTGGCATTCAAATATTAAGAGGACTTGAAATTTATTATCATTTAATCTCTAGCAGCTTTGAAAGTCTGCCAGTTGAATGTGCTGAGGAAAATAAGAGATTATATAGTAGCAGCTTCTACATGTCAGAGCCCACCTAACACTTTTCTTTATTTCTTTTTTTGGCACTGGGGATTAAACTCAGGGGCACTCAATCTGAGTCACATCCCCAGCCTTATTTTGTACTTTACTTAGAGGCAGGGTCTCACTGAGTTGCTTAGTGCCACACTGTTGCTGAGGCTGGCTTTGAACTCGTGATCCTTCTGTCTCAGCCTCCCAAGACACTGGGATTACAGGTGTGGGCCACACAGTATCACCTGGAAGGTATAACTGTCCACATATAGGAAGTCTGAATCTAGTTATAATTCTTCCACCACCTTGCCATGTGACCTTAATTTAATCTGAATTCCACTTACCTCTAGGTTTGCACTCCAGGGAATGAAGGTGTTGTCAGGATACAGGGAGTGATGAAAGTATCAATTTTAGGTTATATTATTAGTTTTCAGGAGTCAAATGCTACCATTTACCTGGACTTACTCCTCACTGGTACCCTGGTCCCTGTCTTCCTGCTTCTGTGTTTTTACTCTAGTTATATTTCCTACATTTGCTCATTATCTAGACAACTGTCTAATGCCAGGCACTGTGGTAGGTGCTGGAAATACAGAGATGGGCCTGATATAATGCCCACCCTCAAAATGCTGGGAGAAGTCATGAAATAAAGTATTACAGTGCAGTATCAGCATTATGTTGGAAATGCAGTATAAGCACAAGGGAAGGAAGTGGAAACTGAAAAAGAGTAAAGGAAGTAAAATATGGTGTAAGTCTTATAGAATGAATGTTTCATAGGTGAGTGATGTGGGATCAGCATGACTGCTAGAGAAAACAGATAAAGCAAAGCCATAAAGTATGACAATAGGTGGATTCAGGGGGGAATCACTGCTAGAAGGGGAGGAAGGTTGAGCAAGAAACAAGAGAAGTAGGACCGGACATTTTAAAAAGCTAGAAGTAGAGATTGTGATACCAGATAGATTAATCATCATAAATGGTAAATATTTGAGGACATATAGATATGTTTAATGTGACTTAAACACTACACAATGTATACATGGTACCCCATCAATATGTACAGTTTTTATATACCATTTTAAAAAAGTAAAAAATAATAAATAAGAAGACAGACATAGTTGTAAACTTGGAGACAGAGACCAGAGAAGATACAACAAGACTATACTGTAATTGTACGGGGAATGATGGCTGCAAGCTTATGCCACTGATGGGGCAGGAGTCATTCTGGAAATGTAAATCCTCTTTTCTTCTACTTTACCATTCCATTTGTTTGGTATAGGTCCTCAGCAATAAAGACCATATTCCTCTGACATAAAGCATCACCATGAAGTAACAGGAGCAATATGAACTAAATGTGCTATGTTCCAGACACTGATAGGATCCTTTCTTGACAGGCTGACATTCCCATGGAAGCCTGTGGCTTACTGAGGCCCTGCAGTGGGTCCCTAATTCTCATCTACCTGCACATTTCTGCTTTCTCCAGAAGTTGTATGACTTCTAAGAGATAGCAGAGCCTGTTTAGAAACTTGTTCTGTCAGTTGTACTTATTCATGCTATATAATTAAACACTGCATAAGCATAAAAAATGAACACACACAAAAGTCATTTTTTTTGGTACTGGGAATTGAACTTAGGGGCACTCAACCACTGAGCCACATCCCCAGCTCTGTTTTGTGTTTTATTTTGAGACAGGGTCTCACTGAGTTGCTTAGCACTAACTTGCTTTTGCTGAGACTGGCCTTGAACTCATGATCCTCCTGCCTCAGCTTCCCAAGTCATTGGGATTAGAAGTGTGCACCACTGTGCTTAGCCTGGCTAAGCTCTTATTTTTTTAAAAGTTAAGTTGCTTGCTTCTGAAAGACTCAATAAAGGGAAGTTGATTAACAATAACAGCAATACATAACAATAAACAATAACAGCAGAAGCAGCAAAGATAAGCTGCTGATGCTTCTGGTGCAAGCAAAACAAACACATGAAGGAAAACAGGAAATACATCTAGGACTTTATAATCCAAATTATAAAAATATACTTAAATGTGCACATTTTTTTGGAAAAGATGGTTTCAAACTCAAGTATGAAAACATTTCAACAGCAATTTTTGTCTCTAAAATCTATCTTCTCAAAAAGCCAGTACTTTAGAAACAACAGAATGTAATGTGAAATTGTACTTACGAGCCTGTGGATTCTGAAAAGCCACAGCTTTGTCAATTCTTAGCTGAGACTGAAGGGCAGCCACTTCCCAACGACGAAATTCTGGTGCTGTGGTGACATTGAGCAGGAATTCCATTAAAATGTCACTAGAAAAAATTAAGAGTTACAGGTCAAAAATTTAAAAAACCAACATTCAGGATTCTATACAAACATTAACATTCTCAAATGTTAAGACTCGTAGTAAATAGTGTTATGAGCATGAAATTTGTTAATAATATACCGAACAAAAGTCAGAGGTCATAGTGACACAAACATGACCTGAGCAGTTTAGGATTTTTTAAAAAGCACATATTTAGGGCTGGGGTGTGGCTCAGCGGTAGAGTGTTTGCTTAGTATGTGTGAGGCCCTGGGTTCGATTCTCAGCACCACATATAAATAAATAAAATAAAGGTACATTTACAACTAAAATAAATACATATTAAAAAAAAAGCAGCTATTCTAAACACATGCAAATACTTACACATCATCCCGCAGGCACTCCACAGTATATGCCATATTTTCCCTTGTTGCAGTCACACTGAATTGGAAATAAATTAGAATTAATAAATCAGAATAATAAACTTTCCTTTTGTCTTTTCTGTTAAATCAATAAATTCCTTTTSAAAGTTTTTGAAGTGCTATCAGAAAGTGCAAAATGATAACATACTCATCAACTAAATTTTAAAAATATTATTTTTTTTTAAAAAAACTGGCAAATCAACTTTAAAAAGGATGAAATTCTAAGTCGTGTTATAACATGGACGAATCCTGAAGACCTTATCCTTAGTGAAATAAGTTACAAAAGGGAAAAATATTCAGATTCTACTTTTATGAGGAACAAAATCAGAAACAGAAAATAGAACTGGGGTTGTCAGGAGCTTGGGGGATGACAAATAATGGGGAGTCATTGTTTAATGGGCACAGACTTTTGGTTGGGTAAGATGACAAAGGTCCAGAGACAGATGGTATTAATGATGGCTCAGTGTCCCTTAACTCCACAGAACCATACACTTGTCTCATCATATGCTATGCTTTATCTATTTCCCTAACGATGGACATAGATTTTCTAGTCTCAACCAAGATAAGGAATATCTTTATACATGTGAATTAAAAACCATGCTAGACGCAGTGGCACATGCCTGAAATCCCAGTGGCCCGGGAGGCTGAGGCAGAAAGACCAAGACTTCAGTCAGCCTCCAGCAAAAGCAAGGTGCTAAGCATCTCAGTGAGACCCTGTCTCTAAATAAAATACAAAATAGGGCTAGGGATGTGGCTCAGTGGTTGAGTGCTCCCGAGTTCAATCCCTAGTACACCCCCACAGACCTGCAAAAAAACCAAATCACTTGATTTTTATTAATATTACTAGGTATTCTCTGATTCTTCAAGTGGTTACATTAATTTATACTCTCACAAGCAGAATAAAAGATTCTTCATCTCCCTTATTCCTCCAAAATATGATATTTAAAAGACTCTGATRGGTGTGAAATGGTATGCAGTTGATTACCAAAACTAGTGTTTCTGGCTTCCTCTTCCGGGAAGTCTGTTCCTATCTTTTATCCATTTATATTTTTCCTTTGCTTGTTTTTGCTGATTTGTAATTCTTTATTTTTCCAAATAGAAATCTTTAATATATTATGTATATCACAAATACTATTCCCAATTGGTTATGTAAATTTTTACTTTAAGGGATAAAGATATTTCATACTTTGATGCAAATTCATCAGTCTTTTTCTTGTTCTGTTTGGGAAATCTTTAATCACCCTGATAACAGAGAAGAGTTCCCTTAAAACTGAATATTTTTTGGTGTTTTCATTTTATTTCCTATTATTTATTTAACAAACCTTAATTTGCCACCAACTGCTTCAATTCCTCGGGTTATCTTGAAAGACGAAGCACCCTTCGTAGTCTTGAAAAAGAAAAGATTTTCTTAGTAGTTTTTTAATGCCAAGTATCCCAAACATCACACTATGTCAAAATCTATTGTGTAATCCTTATTAGCATATTCTAAAGAAACTTTCCTAAGTATTGGATCCTTTTAAATCACGAATTATAAAATAAGGTGCAATGTAGAGCACAAGCATATATTTTAAATATAAAGTATATTTATTAAACATTCCATTTTCAAATACAAGCTTAACGGAGTTCTTAGTCTATTCTGAAAGAGAATTACATATGTTCATATATGCAATTCTTTCAGTATCAATTTAAATAAATCTTTACTTACTTCTTACGTTCTAACACTAACACTCAGATGGACACTAATTTAATTTGCTCATGTTATAACATGAATGAGCCCTGAGGACCTTATCCTTAAGTGAAAAAAGTTACAAAACCCCCACTTACACATCCCGGCTCCCCCCACCCATCCTCCCTTCTACTTAGAAATAGGATCTTTGCTGATATACTTAGGATGATGTCACACTGGATTAGAAAGGGTCCTAAATACTTTGGGACAGATGTCCTTTTAAGAATGAAATCTGTACAGACTAAAGGAAGGTCATATGACAACAGAGGCAGGGATTAAAGTGATGTAGCCACAGGTTAAGGAATGCAAAGGATTGTCAGCAACCACCAGAAGCTAGGAAGAGGCAAGGAAGGATTCTTCCTTATAGTTTTTGTAGGAAGTGTGGCTCTGCTGATACCCTGACTTGTCATAAGACACTTCGATTTTGACTTCAAACTTCTAGAACTGTAAATTTCTTTTGTTTAAGTCACATAGTTTGTATGGTTGCTCAAGCAAATTAACAAAGCTTTTCTTTTTCACAGGACCAAGATACCACAGCATGTTCAAACAGTGAGGTTAATAAAGATACTTACTAAAGTGGATGCAAGACGCAGCAGATGAGAGGTTCCTAAATTGTTGGAGTCCTCATATCTACTGCCTGCTCTGATGAACAAACCAATTCTTGTTGCAGGAGCATAGTTTTCCAGAGAAGCAATTACCAAACCATTTGGTAATTTGGTAAACTGCATTTAAGATTAAGTAGAGATATGATTACTGTCTTTATATTATCAAGGAGAGTAAAGTATATATACACACACACTCATATATACATATAGCAAGAAACTCAGTCGGACTAACCTCAAGGTCCTGAGGATGTAGAGTAACTCCTGTGGGGGCGACTGTACCTTTAATTTTGGGGGCAACTTTGAGGGAATAAAATCTCTAAACACAAAAAAGACAGGTTATACACATTTCTCACAAAGTGCTTTAAATAAAAGCATTGTATCAGTGCTGCCAAGAGAAAGAGGGTGTTTAGAAGTAAAAAGAACAACCATTATCTTCGTGGGATGGCTTAGCTGAATAACTTTTTAACCCAACAGCTTACTCAAGCCATTTTAAAATGTCAATTTATTTGTGATTCCTAAAGACAGCTGAATTCTCTATGCTAATTTTTTTAACTATATAATAATCATTGTATTTTCTGAACCTTTTAACTACCTTACTGAAGTTTCTAGTGTTTCTCTCTAGCTCTGATGCTTTGAAAGTTTTTGGAAAGGTATACTGAATTGCCATGTTAACTCCCTTTTAGAGATTTTAGCAAAAGGTCTTTTATGACATTGTATATCATTTGCTCCTCCCCCCCAAAAACTGCTTCCTTAATCTGCCCTACAAGTCTCTTCACTTTAGTCTATTTTCCAATTCATCTACTTAATAATTTAAGTAGATGAATTGGAAAATACTTAGCAACCTTGTAAAAAACCCAATGCTTACCAACTTCCTCTGCACTAATATTTTCATTGCATCTTCATTCTCATGTTCCAAAGGCTGAGTAACCAAGGATCTTACCTTCTTTGACTAAATAAAAGTTTATATCACCCTAAGATTAACAATAGATTCATTCACAGCACATTCTTGGTATATAATATATAGTCACAATAGAGGAAAAAAAGCTTTTATTAAATGTCAGATAATGGATTCAAAATGCATTCACTTTAGACAGTTTTTTTTTKGGGGGGGGGTGCCRCAAATGATATACAATGTCATAAAAGTCCTTTTGATTATGACTAAACCTTACAAGGTTACTAGTGGAAGTGCTGCATATATAAAACTTGTTAATCCCAAAATGCTCCTGCCTTGGTCTCTGGAGTAGCTGGGATTACAGGCATGAGCCACTGCACCACCAAGCCATGAYACTTTTTTAGTTATATGCTTATTTGTCCCTTTCAAATCACTAAAGAACTGTCCTAGTAATTATCAATTACTAAATTTTCCTTTGAATAACACAATGTGTTATTTGAATAACACAGTGTAAGTGAGAATGAGATAAAATAAGTACTACAATTAGAAACATAAACAATTGCTTTAAAATTTACTATAATTTGCTTACTTTGGTCCTTTCCAACTGTTATCTCAGAAAATTGGAATACGGGAAAGTTGGGGCACTCTTGCCATTCTAAGTTGCTCTCAAAGTGTTGTTAATCATTGGGTTTTTTTAAGGCATGCCAGGAATATAATTACAGCCTAAATTTGTATAATCCACAGTAAGTCTATTTAAACATAAAGAACAAGGAAATCCATTCCCAGATCTGGTCTTTTGCATTTTCCTCTAGCAGGGGTTTTCAACGCAGGTACTACGGGCATGTTAGGCTGGATAACTCTTATAAAGGGGCTGTTACATGCATCCTAGGCTTTTAGCAGCACCCGTGTCCTTCTTATCAGTAGCAGCCTCCCCAAAAGTAGTTATAAACAAAACTGTCTCTAGACATTGCTAATAGTACACTGGTGCAAATTATTCCTTGCTGATTTTTTTTTTTTCAAGCGTTTCTTCTTTCATTACTTGGTAACCAGTGCTCCACAGTGACARAACACCTATCCTTGAGGAAACCAGTTGTTCAAAAGGGGGAAGCCCTAGTTTGAACATAACTGTCACTTAGGGAAGCCCTAGTTAAGCGGCTTTTGACAAGAACCGACCAAGAATCCCTTCCGGAGGGATCCTGTAGTAAGAGACCAAGAGAAGCAGCACACGTTATACTGTCAGGATATAATTACAACGAATGAAGTTCTAGGCAATGGGATAAGCTCTAAAGGTACAGTAGTTTATTTCTTACACTTTATTAGTAAGCCCATTTCACSGCTGGGGAAACCGACACACAAGATAAACCAAGAAGCAGAGGCCACGACTGGAGAGGCGCGGCGGGTGGGGCTTAGGTGTGGGGCAGAGTAGTGACCTTCAGGAGTCTCTCCTCGGAGTCGCTTGACCTGGCTCTCAAGCCCTCTCTCTCTTCAGGTCTTCCGGCGTTAGGTCTCTTCTGTTCACAGAACGAGCCAAGTCTCTCCTAACACCTGAGCTTTCAACCCTCTAGGTCTGCGGGTTCAGCTGAAGGGCAGATCGAAGCCCAAGGCCTGGGACCCCACATCACGAACCTCCGGCCCGTACCAGAGTGCTGACACACTGCCCAAAGACCCTCCCCAAAACCCTCCCGCTGTGCTCACCGAGAAGGACCCGGCTGTGCTCAGTAGCTTCATGGCTCAAGAGTGCGCTGACCCACAGTCACTGCGGGTTAAAGGCGGGCAAGATGGTGGCGGAGGACGGGAATTTCCCAGCTTCCCCCGCTAACGCTCTTTCCCACGCCCCCTTCGTAAGGGTTCTCTCTATCCCGACCGCGCTCTACTGCTCTGGATGTTGGATCAATCCGACTTATCCAAGACACAAGGCACAAGGGCGCACATTTTCRTAAGTAAACTACCAAAAGGTAGTTTAAGGTTACCTCCTTTGGGTTTATATTACCGGCCCACATATTCACTCTTTAATCCTTTTCTAATTCCCTCTACGAAAGTCCATCACAACTCCCCCGCCAYCGTGGACTCTTCCGACCCTGATTGTCCAATGATACGCCTTTCCTGGCACTGCGCAGGCGTTTTCTGGGCTCAGGCCAGGAGTTGTGGACTTCCGGCTCCCTGCAGTTGATGGCTTTTGGAGCCAGCACACCTCGCTTTTACGCTGGGCACCGAAGCCCCGCAGTTGTCTGCTGCTTGGTGAAGTCCTTGCTAGATCATTAGCTCCAAATGAGAGCAGAGGCCTTACGTGATGTGCTGCTGTTATCTTCCAGAACAGGCCAGAGAGACTCTTAGCTGGGTCCACCACCTGAGGGGATCATCTTGAAGGTCCCTGCTCTCATGGAAATTGCATCCTATTGGGGTTACAACGAAAATTAAGCAAAACGGCTATAGTTTTCATGTGTTTTGAATAATAGGATTGCGGAAACTCGCATGTTGAAAATGCAGTCATGTGATCAACTGGGCAGAGAGTTCACTACATTCTGTGGATATTAACTAAGAAGATGCCTTATGCTGGGCACTGCGCTAAAGGAAGAAGGCGTGGTTTCTGCTCCCAGGGCACTGGTCTAGTACCCTGCTCGCCACGTTGGTAAAAGAACTCTCAGCATCAATACCTTTGGGAGTTTGTTGCAAGTGCCAAGTATCCAGTTTCTCAGATCTATGCATTTTACTTTCAGAAGGTCTGGTGGTGAAAATATTACAAGGCATAGGTAAACGTATCACCTTTGGCTTGTGCCTTTTTTGCTCCAAGCCTGCTACTGCCTTTAATTCTAACAAGCTTGTAAGATGCATTATAGAACCTGAAGCCAACTCARTTTTTGTGCCGTCAGCGGACAACCCTGACCCAATCCTATACCATAGAGGTTCACCAGGTGTGGTGCATGAGATTTTAAATTGGTATATGAATGAATATTGTTTCGTTTTAATGGTTACATGGGCTTTTTTGTACCTTTATTAATGAAAATATCTAATTATCAGAAATAAATTTTAAGAATCAAAATAAATGTTACTTGCAAATCATTAATGACTTATCAATAAATAGAAAACAGTTTTTTTAAAAACAACTTTATTTTATGTGGTGCTGAGGATCGAACCCAGTGCCTCACATGTGCTAGGCAAGTGCTCTACCACTGAGCCACAACCCCAGCCCTAACGGTTACATGTTTGATTATGGCAAGCAATCCTAGTGATGGATAGCCTTCTTTAAATGCATTTGTAAAAAAATGAAAGTTGGTTTAAGAAAGTTTAATTAACTTTTGGTGTAAGATATGGAGGTATATAACATAAATCATGGATGTATTTATACCAGTGAGTGAAATTTGGGAAACATTGTTCTGATCAAGTCACCTGTCTGCTTAAAATTCTTCAATGACTTACCCATGTTTTTTAGGATAAATTTCAAATTCATTAATAGCATGCAAAGCTCTGTTACCACTGCTCCCAAATTAGGTATACCCCTGAGAGTCCAATTATTAGAACTTCATCATCTAGCAGTTCAAGTYAGGCAGGAGGGACACACAGATCCCTATGTGTTCGTGTACATGTGTGTGTGTGCATTCACATACACCTGTTTAGAATGTGTCTCATTCCTGAGTTCACCACCATCCACATACCAGAATGTAAACTGTGACCCAAATATCTGAAAGGAGGAGCATTCTRTTCAAAATGTAGAATTTGAAACATAATAATTCATGATTTCAGCTACATAAATCAAAATCCTGTCTATACAGTGTTTTGGAACATTGCAAAATTTCCTATTAAACTTTCAACTATACAGTAGAGTGCCATCTTGTTGACAGATATGCCACTTCAACATCATTGTTGTGCTCTACTCAATTTCATGACTTGCTCATGTGGAGGTCTCTGCAGCTCTAGCATTTTACTGAAGAAGCAAAAAAGAGTTCTTGAAATTGTTTCTGCATAGGAGATTACTGAAAGTCCTGAGAGGAAACAGTCAAGAAGAAACCATACATACATACATGGAAGGCCAGATCAATGCATTGCTGGAAAGTTCTGCTAGTTCTATTGTGAAATCCAATATGACCCAATGAGTCCAACACCTACCTCTGTGTGTGTGTGTGTGTGTGTGTGTGTATGCGCGCGCGCACGCATATGGATGTGAATGTGTGAATCCTTGTTCGTGCATGTTTGTGGAACCAAGAATGTAAAAAGAAATGAGGTGGGCTGGGGATGTGGCTCAAGTGGTAGCGCGCTAGCCTGGCATGTGTGCGGCCCAGGTTTGATCCTCACCACCACATACAAAGATGTTGTGTCCGCCGAAAACTAAAAAATAAATATTAAAATTCTCTCTCTCTCTTTAAAAAAATAATGAGGTGAGAGTGGAGGCAAAATAAACCACAGGAAAATGGTTTGAGTTTACATTTGGGAACAACATTGTCTTGTCAGCTTAGAGTCAAAGGCGTTAATCATGACTCCTCTTAGACTCCCAAATGTTTATGATGGCATAAACCGTATTTTTGACACCTCAGTTAAGTGGTCAAAGTCTGCCAAAGCTCCTTTAGTAAATGATTATTTCCCCATTTTCTCTTGGATCTGTACATTTCCTATGAGCAGAAAAACATATTTCTTTTGTCTTAAAAACTATTTTCACCTTTCTTTGGTTCTAGTGAGTTTGATATGCACTTCTTTGCTTGATGTCAGATATGAAGGAATACAGAATACATGAGATCACATGTGTCATAATACTGCAGAGATATGAAGGAAGCGACTTTAGGATTGACACCTTATTGAGAATGAGCATTTGGAGCTAGTCTAGGAGATGCCCATGTTCTAGTTCTTACAATGTGCAGTTAAACCTCATAATATCAATAAAATTTAAAATTCTGCAAGCAAATTAGGCTTGTCTGTCTTCTTACAAATTATTTTAAGACTCAAATAGCAAAAGCTATTTTGATAAGGAGGTCCTGGCCCTGGAAGTTTAGGAAACAAAGAGAAAAATATATTTTATCAATATGGTCACTATGGTTTTAGCATAAATCTTTTTCAAATGGTGTCCTGATTGAAGATACACTGCTACCTGGAAGTATTTTGAAGTATCAGGAAAAATTCCTTCATTTCACCCTTAAGTGTTAAAACTGTAAATCCTAATTTATTGAGCCCATATTTTCTCCTCCCAAAGACAAACGTAACTCACCTGCATCAAAATTATGTGGGGTATGTTAAAATGCAGATCACTAGGTTCTATACCACACAGATCCAATCATAAAATCCAGGACTTGGGGCTGGGGATGTGGCTCAAGCGGTAGCGCGCTCGCCTGGCATGCGTGCAGCCCGGGTTCGAGCCTCAGCACCACATACAAACAAAGATGTTGTGTCCGCCAAGAACTAAAAATAAATATTAAAAAAATTCTCTCTCTCTCTCTCATCTCTCACTCTCTTTAAAAAAAAAATAAAATAAAATAAAGTAAAATCCAGGACTTGAAGTGCAGGAATCTGCATTTTTATTTATTTATTTATTTATTTATTGGAAAGGAGAAAATAAAACTGTCTCTATTCCCAGACAGCATGATTCTACATGGAAAATAGAATCTACAAAAAAAGTTGCTAGAAATAATAATTTGAGTTTAGCAAGTTAAGATATATGTGAGACATAAGATCAATATGCAAAAGTTTTTTTTATACATGTTAGCAACAAGCAATTGGAAATTAAAATACAGGGATGGGCAGAATTAATATTGTTAAAATGTCCATATTACCAGTTTCGGTAATATGAAATAACATGAACCAATATCTACACTTTCAATACAATCCACATTGGAACACCACTGTCAGAACTAGAAAAAATAATCCTAAAACTCTTATAGGAAAATAAAAGACCCAGAATAGCCAAGCCAAAAAGAGCAGTGCTGGAAATATCACAACCTCCAATTTCAAGGGATACTCTAGAGCCATAGTAACAAAACCCAGCATGGTGCTAGCATAAAGACAGACAAAATGGAACAGAAGAGATGACAAACCCTTATAGTTAACAAAGGTGTCAAAAACACAATGAAGAAAAGACAACATCTTTAACAAATATGGGAAAACTACATATCCACAGATAGAAGAATAAAACTAGATTCTTATCTCTCACCCTGTACAAGAGTGAACTCAAAATGGATCAAAGACCTAAGTGTTAAGACCAGAAACTGTAAACATAAGAAAAAAATAGGGGAAACACTTAAACATATGGGCACAGGCAATGACTTCCTGAACAGACTCCTATAGCTCAGAAAATAATAACATGAATCAATAAATATSATGGCATCAAATTAAAAAGCTTCTCCATAGCCAACAACAGAGTGAAGCGAGGACATAACAGAATGGGAGAAATCTTTGCCAGCTACTCTTCTGAGGACTAACATCTGGAAAATGTCAAGAACTAAACAGGTAAACAAAATCACATACCACCCCCCCAAAAAAAMCCCCACAATCAATAAATGGGCAAAGAAACTATAAACAGACACTTCTCCAGGAGGAGTTAAAAAGAGGAGTATAGGGCTGGGGTAGAGTGCTTGCCTAGCATGTGTGAGGCACTGGGTTCGATTCTCAGCATCACATACAAAAAAATAAAGATCCATCGATAATTAAAAAATATATATTTTTAAAAAGGAATACAGGTGATCAACAGGGAAATGCAAATAAAACTACACTGAAAATCTATCTCACTCTAGTCAGAATGGCAATCATCAAGAATTCAAGTGACAAAAGCTGGGCACAGTGATCACAAGTGTGAGGTCAGCCTCAGGCACTTAGTGAGACTGAGTTTAAAGAAAGGAGGTGGGGGCTGGAGATGTAGCTTAGTGGTGAAG